CCCTCCGGCAGGGGGTCGCGCTCGCCGTAGGGCGCCGTCCGCTTGGCATTGCCCACGGGGTAGACGCCGTTCTCAGCAGGCATGTCCGTTTCGTACTGCACCGCCGCAGCTGCAGCCACATTGACCTCGCGATTCGCGACGGGCGAGTTCACAAAGCTCAGCTGGCCCAGGAACAGCCACACGCATGCGCTCGCAGCCAGCGCGAGGATCACGGACCTCTGGAACTCGTTTTGGTCGGTGCGGTGTTTAGTGGACACAATAACAATAACAATAACTCTCTAAGCCTTCCGACCACCCAAGGGACCCACGGGCTCACTCACCCCGGTTCTCCGTGCGCTGCCCGCCGCCCGGAGCGTTAGATGTGTTGAGTGCTGTTAGCTTTGAGAGGCGTCACTACCATGTGCTCCTGGGCAGTCACGGGAACTGTGGAAAGCAAGAGCTGCCCGCAACGGACGGCGGGAACTTACATGGACGTGACGCAGAGTTCGGGCTCGTCGGCAAGGATTGTCCCAGGTAGTCTTCCTAGCATGCCACCCGCAAAAGCTTTCCAGCAACTGCCCTTCCCAGTCCCAAGGAAGCCCTGCACACACGTGGTGCCGTCACGTCCCATCTCCTCGCAGCTACTGGGTGGCTTTGGTGACACAAGACAGACCGGCAAGGCCAGTCAGATCCCGATCTCCATCATCGGAGTGGTAGCAATAATTGTCATAATGATAGTAATAAGAACCACAAATTCCGAAGATCATCATCATCAACATCATCATCGTCATCATCATGTTCATCATCACTATCATCATCATTATCATCACCACCACCATTATCAGACCATCTGGATAAGCTTCGGACCGTGCTGCCATGGCTCAAAGGAAGGAAAGGTGGAATGGGCCAGAAAAGCTCTCAGCCGATAACTACTACAGGATTCCGAGGGTTTCTATACGGGATACAGTAACAGATGCTACTATAAGGGATGCTATCAGGGATACCACCAGGGATATTATGAGGGGTACTGTAATGGATATCGTGAGGCATAGCACAGGGAACCCTAAAACGGTACCATACCACAGCGGGCTGGCTGGACATTCCATTCAAGGCATGTTCTGGCGAACACTCCGAAGTCTTCATCTAGGGACATCGCTGCATCGAAAGACGCAGTTCACATGCTGCGATCTTTACAACATCCCTCAGAGTATCCTTAAAAGCAAACGAAACGCCAACCCTTAACGTTTCCCCTGTGGTATCCCTTGTAGTGACACCTATTGTTTCCGCTACAGTACCCCGTGTAGTAGGGCTTATCGTGTCCCGTATCACTGATCCGAGACGAGAGCCAACTTCATGGAAGGACTGCTTTGCCACAGCGCGAACATCTCCTGCGAAGTCACGAACTCCAAAAGATGCAGCGAGCACTTAAGGGTTGAGGGGGCTTAATAATTAGAATATGGCTGTCGGGGGGTTACCTTAAAGGGCTCCTTAAAGGGTTCCATAAGGGCTACAAAACTTTCAGGGTTTAGGTGTGGCGGCTTTGCAGCCGGAAGCCGCATGGCAAGATGAGGCGACTAAGCAGAAGCTGCCTCAGTCGAAATACCCAGCTTTGCGGCAGCAGCCTCACAAAAAACAGGTTGAACTCAGCATGCTTTGCATCAAACTGCGGAAACAGAGCAATAATGAGCAATACTGAGATACACTGTGCCTCGGCACCAAGCGGTGCAGCTGCGGTGAACGAAACACCTCCAGCTGGTCTGCACTGAATCCGATATCCAGAACTTGGCTTCTTGACAGGGACCTCCACCCCGGCTCACATGCCCTGCCTAAACCCTAAATCCTAAACCCTAAACCCTAAAACCTAAACCCTAAACCCAAGATCTAAGCTTCAGGGTTCCCTGAGTTCCCTAAACGCTACCACCCCCAAAGGCTCTGGCGAAGCAGGCGCCCGACAGAAACCGGGGCTCCCACCGAAGGCGCTCTCAAAGCGAGCTGCCGCCTCACCGGCAACCTGCAGGTTTAGGGTTTAGGGTTTAGGGTTTAGGGTTTAGGGTTTAGGGTTTAGGGTTTAGGGTTAGGGAGCTTGCGGCTTTGTCTGAAGCGAATGCGAAACTGAGGGAAACTGAGGGGTTATAATTTGGGGGTTCAGGGGCTTAGGGGTTTAGGGGTTTAGGGGTTTAGGGTTTAGGGTTTAATGCTGTAAAGGTTGCTTCTTAATTACACGGGATACTGGAGGGATGACCATAAGGGCACTCTACGGGATCCAATCCCAGCTCCGCCGCAAAGGTGCGCAATGCACGTGCAATCATTGCGGGCCTTGAAGTCTTGAGGGATACCAGTCGCGAAGCGTGCCAGCTGCAGGTACTGCCGGGGAGTTCCGAGCCAAGCACTGCAAAAGCGAGCACTTCAGCGGTTCCCTGGCTGCCCTGGCTCCTGCTTGTCGAAGAGATTCTTGTCAGCAATGTCCTGCCCCAGCGCAGTACAATGGAGCAGCTGCTGGCATCTCATGACTTGCCGGCCTTGGCAGCAACAATGCCCTTCTCGACGATGGAAATCTGCATCAAGTGTAACGAAGTTTCTAATGAAGCAGATCAAGACTAAAACCATCGCGAGAGCTAGTCGCTAGACTTGCCCTTAGGTCTGAATGACCCTGCATTGCTGCAATGATGCGCTCTCCTTTTGCTGGGCTGCGCGTGCAAGCAGGGCGGACCCGGCAAACCACTGCCCACAGCGGTGAAAGCTTCCAGAGCCTACGACAGGACAAAGGCGATTGCCTCATTGCTCAGGCAGCCCAATGGCTACAACCAGTTCCACCCCCACATACGCATAGCAATACTCAACACCTACCCGACATGAACCAAGGGACGAGTGCACCTTTGCACTAAAAACCCACCCTAAACCCTAAACCCTAAACCCTAAACCCTAAAACCCTAAACCTAAACCCTAAACCCTAATCCCTAAAGCCTAAAACCCTAAACTTTGCGTCCCTAAGCCGCCCCAGCTTCCCTCAGCTTCTCGGAGTTTTTCCGGGGAGCGCGGGCCCGGAGCCGCTGCAGAAAGTCCTCCTCCATGTCCTCAAGCCAAAGAGGTCGCAAAGGCCGAAACAAGGGTTTAGGGTTTGGGGTTTAGGCTTTAGGGTTTAGGGTTTGGGGTTGAGGGTTTGGGGTTTAGGGTTTGGGGTTGAGGGTCAGAAATGTAAGGATCTGCAGTCCAGAGGAATCGAAATCCAGCCGAGATCGCACTGAAACAGCACCTCATGTCCGGCTCGTATGGCATCCTCCAAGCCCTGAGGACAGAGCTTAAGGTTTAGGGTTTAGGGGTTTAGGGTTTAGGGGTTTAGGGTTTAGGGTTTAGGGTTTCGGGTTTTGGTTTAGGGTTTAGGGTTTTGGGTTTTGGGTTTTGGGGTTTAGGCTTTGTTATCGCAGCTGCAACTACCTTCGTTTGCCGGCCTCGTTCACCAGAACCTCCTGGAATTCAGCAGCCCGTCCTCTTGTCGCAACAACTTCCAGCATTGCTCTCGAAATATAGCATTGCTTCAAAAGTGATGGGTTTAGGGTTTAGGGTTTAGGGTTTAGGGAACTACAGATCGGGAACGGCACTCGCACAGAATGCCCCAAAAGTGTTTCATGAGGTAAGCAACCACTCGAGTGCAGAAATCCGCTTCCTTCTGGGGCGGGTTGGTCGACGTCCCCCAACCAGAAAAGCATGCGATCCGAAGGTGAAATGGCTGTGAGGTTACGCAGAAAATTCTTCCACCTTGCCCCCTTGCATACTTGCATGGCCGAACCGCGAGATGAAACGCTGAAATGCGGAGTCCCGTAAACCCTAAACCCTAAACCCTAAACCCTGAACCCTAAACCCTGAACCCTGAACCCTAAACCCCAAACCACCCTAAACCCTAAACCCTAAACTATCAGAGTCTCCTTCCTCCCAGAAGCAGCGAGACTTCCGGGGCCAGGCGAACGCGAGGCGGCCCAGCGGCCTCGAAACTCGCGGCAAGGGGCAAGGTTTCCTAAAGTATCGTAACCCTGAACCCTAAACCCTAAACCTTAAACCCTAAAACTTACACCCTAAGCCCTAAGCCCCAAACCCTAAACCCTAAACCTTAAACCCTGAACCCTAGTATGCACAGACCTTCCCAACAATAAGACGGGAAATGACACCAGGGCACCACACGGAGCAAGCCGGACCCCAGGCTCTCGCAGCCGCACGATCGCCTCAAACCGGGACACCGGGAGATCAGCCAAAAAAAGGTTTAGGGTTTAGGGTTTCGGGAGATCAGCCAAAAAAGGGACCCTAATTTAGAGAACTACCCAGGTTAGAAACCCGATAGAAACCCTTATAGCTGGGAACTACCCATGTTAGAAACCCTATGGAAACCCTTATGACTTCGTGCAAATGGGTGCAGGGGGAACGGAGAGTCTCCGAGGCCAAGTGCAGGCAGGTCACCGCAGAGGTGACCGGCACTTGGCAGGGGTGCTCTCGGTCTGCGCAAGGGCGGCAAGAGAGGGTCTAGGGTTTAGGGGTTTAGGGCTTTAGGGATCTAGATTTATAAGTTGGGATATGAGTAGGATAGCTGGAAACCGAGTCTTTCAATTCCGGTGTCGGGATGCAAGGCTCGCATGGCTCGCAGCCCCGTAGCAAGTTCCGTGCACAAGCTGCGAAGCGAAGCACCTCCGAGCCAGACAGTCCTCCAGTCTCGCGAAGTAGTCAGCACCAGATGGTCCATACGTGGCAGTTTGCAACAGATCGGGGACCGACTCCAGGCGAGAAGGCTGCTGTGAATCCTCGCAGGATTGGGATTTGTCCATACACACACATATGTATGTATGAAAAAATATGTGTGTGTGTGTATATATATATAGATATATATGTACGAATATGTGTATGTGTATGTGTATGTATATGTATGTAGGGGTGCGTGTGTGTATTAAAAAGAAATATATATATATATATATAGATATATATATATATAGATATATATATATATATTATATATATATATTATATATTCAAGACTTCCAGCAAAGGCTTTCCACACGGCGCCTCGCCACGGTAAAGGCACCCTGCCAAAGTTGCAGCCAGCCACTCTGAGGAGCAGAAAGCTGCAGCCAGTTCAACTGCCCCCTCCAGAGACAGTGTGCCGAGCGGAAGTGTTTGGGCTAGCGACCTCACAATCAGCAAACGCAGAGACTCCAAAACCCCTTAACTAAGGAATATACCTTAAATCATAGTAGGGATCCTACTATAATTTAAGGTATCTTCCTTAATTAAGGTTTTGGAGTCTCTGGGAACTGCAGACTAGAACAGTATGGCGATGGATCCAGCGGCCTCTTCCTTCCTTGCCATGCCCAGAAAGTCATCCAACAAGTCCAGGACAACCGGCATCGCGCAGAGTGACGTAGAGAATCTGAAGAGAAAGCCTGCTGGCCTCGGCGTCATGTGAAACTTCCAAGCCTCCAAGCCTCTGAGCCATGCACCGCCTGTTGCTGTACACGGGCACCGAAAAAAGGAACTCACCTAATATTATAGTATAGTACAATATAGCAAAGTATAGTAGAATCACAAAACATTATAGTACAGTACTAAATAGCACAGTATACTATAGTATAGTATAGTAGAGTATAGCAGAACATAGTATAGCATATTGATAGTATAGTATGGTATAGTAGCATATAGTATAGTATATTCATGTTAAAAAGAGGCCCCCGGCCTGGCCCAGGAGCTGTCCGAGACTTTGGGACAATCCTTGGGCAATCCGGGCGATTGAGCCGGAGAACCACATCTGCGGCAGGCTTCATGGGTGGGTTTAGGGTTCAGGGTTTAGGGTTTAGGGTTCAGGGTTTAGGGTTCAGGGTTTAAGGTTTAGGGTTTAGGGTTTTTTTTTGAGCACCTTTTTCCGTCAGCAATCCGCAGGGTTCAGGGTTTAGGGTTTAGGGTTTGGGGTTTGGGGTTTGGGGTTTGGGGTTTGGGGTTTGGGTGACATTGGTCACATTACTACTCCCTACTCTTGATGCAAAGCAGCTGCAGCACTGAAAGCTGACAAAAGAGCAGCCCATCCTCGAGCAAAATGAACCCTCTTCGTCCGTAGAATCGTCCCACAATCAAAGCGCTTCCATCATAGTGACTCAAGTCTAACCGCTTACTGCAGAATGTATGATAACATGCTATAGTATACCATAGCCTACTATGATCTGCGAGCATATACTATACTTTACTGCAGTATACCATCATGCCATACTACAATGGAAGCATGGCAACCGCAGCCGAGGCCTAACTTGCTGCGGAGTACCCTGTCATGCCTTGTGCGTGGTGAAGAAGGATTGCACGAATCGCTGCGTATCCTGCTTCCCAACCCCTAAAACCCTAAACCCTAGACCCTAAACCCTAAATACTAAACCCTAAACCCTGGACCCTAAACCCTAAACCCTGGACCCGTCAGATTCTCGGGGTGCAAGGCTTGGGGCTTTGGGGCGCCGGCGCCTCAGGGTTCAAGAGTTCAGGCTTTTGGGTTTAGGGTTTCAAGCTTTTTTCTGGGGGCTTGGGGCTTAGGGTTTGGGATCTGAGGATTAGGGCTTAGGGCTTAGGGTTGAACCCTAATTTGGCGGTAGGATCTGAGGATTTGGGTTTAAGTTGTGGATGCTCGCTGCTATCACACGCGACAGCAAGCTACGACAGCAGACACCTTCGTTGATGGCAGGCCGTCTTACTTGCCTAGACCCGTTGATGGCAGGCCGTCTTACTTGCCGTAGAGCCGTAACCCTATGCAGCCCTGACACCTCAGAACCCAACCCTAAACCCTAAACCCTCGATCCCAATCACGAACCTGAAGTCTGGCTGCAGACGTGTGGTTTAAGCAGGCAGAAGGGGTGCGGAAAAATGTTTAAGAATCAGGGGATTAGGGGGATTAGGGGTGCCCCCCTGGGGTTTACGGGCTTAGTGGTTGATGGGTTTGGGCTTTAGGATTTTTGGGTGGCTCTTGTGGCTTGGTCTCTTCTTGAACACTGCTTTTCATGCCACAGGTGTTCGCATAATGGGATTTGTGGGAAGTGCACGGATCTACGCCTTCGGCCAACGCAGTTAGCAAAAGTGGTCGTGCGTGGTGAACCCTATCTTACCTGACTGTCTGGTCTCCCATGTACAACTCCTTACATGGTGCCGCTGCATGGCAGAATAGGCAAAGAGCGACAGACCAAGGAGATTAATCCAAGAAAGATGCAGGGACGCACCAAAACTCCGACAGTCAGTATGACGCTTCTTGTCGCACCAGTCTGCAATCAGTTTCCATGCATCATTTTACCCATGATCAATGTGAAGCTTCTGGAGGAATCCCGCCGGCCTTGTTGAAAGACGACGGCTTGATGAGAACAAGCGCCTGTGTTCAACACCGTGCAAGGCTTGAAGATTATTACTCATACTTACCATACTACAATATACTATCATATACTACAAGGTAGATCATGACTAATGACGTGCAAATGGACTTTGACCGCCAAGGCCCCCCAGGCTACACAGTCCTGCCTGGTTCAACAGGTGGCCATCACGCTCGTTGTGCATGACCTGCCAAAGCACTCTCACAGAGGCTTTGTGGTGCTGGATATTTTGAGGACAGGGGCCAAGAGGCCTCCTGCACGCAGCTCCACACTTCGTCAAGGCCCTGCTCTGCATTGATCCTTCCACCATCTCCCGATGCAATCAACTGCGAGGTCAACGAATTCATCCGGGTCCTGCGCATGGCTCCTTCCCTGCTGAACCTCTCCACCACAGGCAAAGACCTGCAACACAGCGCTAGAGGCTAGAGCAGCATCCACATTTGGGTGGTTGTCAAAATCATGGTCCCTTTTGGGTTACCCTAAATAATAGGTGCCGTATTATAATAAGGACCCCAAAAAAGACCATAATTTTGACAACCACCCACCCATTTGGCTTCCGGGAGCCGGGGCAAAGGCTCCTGCTGGTATGTAGCAAAGCGCTTTTTGATTGACTCCTCGCGGACAAGAAGGCAAGAGCCAAGATCTGCAGGGAAGATGGCAGCAACTACCATAGTTAAGTATATAATCCACTATAATGTACGATAGTATACTATAACATACCATAAGATACTATACTGTAATATACTAGACCATACCATGACCTACTATAATATACTACAACATACTATAGTATACTATAACATACTATAATACAGTATAATGCAATATGATGTGGGTCATATCCCTGCCCAAGGACCAAGGCCCAAGGCCCCCGCGAGATTGTCGTCAGAGCGACCACTCGTCTTCCCCCTCTCAAGCAGACGCGCCTGTGCCAATAGCATTACGGTGTAGGGTTTAGGGTTTAGGGTTTGGGTTTAAGATTCAGGGTTTAGGGTTTAGGGTTTAAGATCTAGGGTTCAAGGTTTAGGGTATAGGCATGCATGCGAGACTTTTGGATTCTGAACGCCGAGGGTTCATGAGCATCATGACCAGACACTGAAACACATATACAAACACGCACGTTGGCTCAGCACGAGAGACCGCGACGAGCGACGGACGGGACAAGACGACTGAAAAACAGAAGAGCAGGACATGAGATGACGATTAATTTTGGTGCGTAAGCATGCCAGACACCTGGAATAGCATGCTAAAACTGATGATGCGTGAGGGTAGGGTTCTGCCCCGGTGTGCCGAACTCAAGGAATGGCACACCAAATGAGATGCAAAGCGTGAAGTACGTTTTCCTGGACTGCGGAGGGGAGCTTTGTTGGAGAGAGCCCCTCCGCACTCCCTCTGTCCCCCTGCACAAAAATCGGCTTCAGGAAAGAGTAAAGCGGATCAATCGCCATGTCCAGGCGTTTACACACACACACACACACACACACCAGCACAGCAGATGAAATGCAAACCGGCCTCCATCACTGCTTCCGAGCAGTCGAAGAACATGCAAAACTTCACGTCTACCTCCAGGCGCGCTCTGCTCGGAAAGCTTTTACCGAAAGTATGGTGCTGCACATCATGACTGGGAAGCCCGAAATGCTGCAAAATGTATGGTACATGGGCTTATGGCAGCATTCACGAACCCTGCAACCCGGAAGGAGGCCCTTGCCACGATGCCCAGCAAACGAACGAAGAGGTGGGTTTAGCGCTGTGACAAGCGTTTAGCCAATAATACTTTGTTACACTACATTCTGTCATGTTACATCTGTTATGTTCTCCTATATATTATGCCAGATTATACTACGTAATAATATCATGTTTTATCTGATGTGTTAGATTATGTTTTACAAGATTACATAGGGTTTAGGCCTCGGAGATGGTTCTTGCCTTGCCATGCTCTGGGTTTCAAGGGCACGCCAGACGTGACACAAAAAGCAGGAACTGACTGAGAAACCCTCCTTATGACACCAAAATATTCGGACTATACAGAACCCCACTAAAGACCCCGAGTTTCTTGGAAACCCTGGACCTCTCTCTCTCTCTCTCAGGCGAAAAGCGAGTCCAAGTCTAGACCACTTGTCAGCAGTCCTGTCTAGCAAGCGGGCTCCTTTCGGGGGGGCTTACCGAGGATGCACTAGCTGCCTCCATTGTGATCGGTCGTGAGAAATAGGCTGTAAGGTGCGGTAAAGAGTAGTGTTGCCGAACCAATCAGAATGAGTTCTGGCTATTGTCTGGCGTGTTGGTAGGGAGTAGAACGAATGAGAGTGCTCATATACTCTAGGCGGCGCCTGCTGCTGAAGCAAAAATTGATATCGCAAATAGGCTTCTGTCATGACTTGTTCGGTCCAGTGGACCCGGGGAGCTCCTACTCTACGTTGGGAGAACTGTATATAATTATGAGCGGTGTTAAAGCAGAAATAGTTCTCAAGTTGGGACTCATGTCGGAGAAGATGGCCGAGGTAGGCCAGTCGAGCGCTCTGAATACTCTGCGAAGGGGGTTGTAGCTGGGGCATATGCTCATAAGCGACCTTAAGCAAATATTCATTGGAACAGTCAGCGTTGTCGGGGGAAAGTGCTCGATGGTAGTAGGAGCTCTGTACTGAAAATATCTTTCGGAGTGCCTTATAATGTATGGTGTTTAATTTTTGCATTTGAGACTGTGTATAGGTCTCGGATTCGGAACCGAAAAGGAGAATTGCCAGAGTGATCTGGGCGTGCACTAGGAGTTTGCGTTTGTAAGAGATCTGGGAGTGTCTATAGAATGCATCTAGGGATTTGAGGCATCTTCCTGCCTGTGAGTATCTGTGATTTACGTCCTGTCCTGCCGAGGAGTTTGTTGTGAGGTAAGACCCCAAATATTTGGCCACTTCGGTGGGCTCCAGTGCTGTTGTAGGTGGGGGAATTTCGCCAAGTAGTGGTCGACAATTAGGGCATCTACACGGGAAGTGAGGTTGGTCGATCAGATAGATCGGTCCGAACGGATTTATTGCCAGAAGCTGGCATTTTTCGGGGTTAAGCTGTAATCCTCTGGAAAGAGCAATGTATTGTAATAGGTGAAGGAGGCGATTTAATGCCTGGGCTGTGCGGGCAACAAGGAGAGCGTCATCTGCATATTCGATGTCGGTAATAGGTTTATCAAACGACAAAACAGAAGGCAAGACCTGAAAAAGAGAACGGTAGGAAGAATAAAGGTCTTCAAAAAGAACGGAGAGGACGATAATAAACAAATAGGGTGAAAGAGGGCATCCTTGGCGGATGCCTCTTTTAAATGGATAAGAGTTTGACAGAGTGGGTCCCTCTCGGACCCGGAAGGTAGCGTTGGCGTAAATGGCCATTACGCATTTAACGTAGTGTGGAGGCAGACCTATGCGTTTGAGAGAAGTCTCCAGGGCTTCATGGCTGACTGAGTCGAAAGCCTGGGCCCAGTCCAAGAAGAGCGCGTAGAATGATATCCCGTGTCTTTCATGGATCTCAAGTAGGCGACGAATAATAAAAAGAGGAGAAGAGGTGGACCTGCCAGTCCTAAAACCGAATTGGTAAAGGGAAATACGTTCATCGATTGCTTCTTTGATACGGTGGTGAAGAAGCGCGGCATAGATTTTATATACAGTGCTAACCAGAGAAATAGGGCGGTAGCTTGGGGGGGGCTCTGGGGTCTTTCTTTTTGCCTTTGTAGATCATAATGACCACCGCCGCCGGCGCCCAATTTTTGGGGGCGGTGGCTTGGGAGAAAATATGGTTATAGTGGGCAAGGAGAGAAAGACGGAAATGGCGGGGAGAGTGTTTCCATAGTTCAACTGGTATAGAATCGGGGCCTGGGGCCTTTTTGTGACGCATTCTGTGTAGGGCCGCGTCGAGTTCGGCCTCCGAAAAAGGAGCGTGAGTCATTTCCGCTGGAGAATAAAGAGGGGTGGGGTCCATCGGGGGGACTTCTTGGTGTCCCCACACTTCTGTGGATAGATATTTCGCCAGGGTTTCCGCTTTTTGTGCTTTGGAGCATATTTTTCCGTTGGGTTGAAGTACTCCCTGTGTTTTGGGAGTGTAAGGTTTGCGCACAAATTTTAAGGTTGCCCACTGTTTTGAGGGCGGACCTTTACTATCCTGAAGGAGCTGGTCGCATAGATGTTGACGTTTGTCTTTCCTGACTTGTTTGCGGACTGCTTTGCGGAGTTTGCGAATGGAGTCTGACTCCTGAAAAGGAGTGTTGTCAATCTGCTTAATAAGGGTTTTGGCTTTTGAGGATAAATATTCTTTCTGGAATTTCTCTGGTGTTTCCGGTTGTAAGGCGGAAGCGGCCGCGAGGACCTGATCTGAAAGGCTTTGGGAGGACGCGGGATCAGCGGTTGTTGGCGGGAAAAGGAGCGGCAAAAGCGGTCGTGGCGGTGATGAGTGTCGTCCGGCGTCCGAAGAAGAAGAGACGCCTTTAAAGGCAAGCTTGTCCGCGCGCGTGTTGCCAGCGATGCCGGCGTGTCCGCGGACCTTGAGAATGGCTAGGTCGAAAATAAGTCGCGCTCGAGTGACATAAGAACGGAGTTGCTCCACTAGTTGTGGATGCGCGTGCGGGAGGATGAGATCATGACACAAATTGTAAACAAACTGAGAATCCGTGTATAAATCAATTGGGAGATTGCGAAATTTGCCTGGGTGTCGGCAAATGTAGTCCAGGGCCTCAATGAGGGCCTGTAATTCGGCTGTGTTATTGGAGCCGACGGGTGTAAAGGAAAGGCCTTGCCCGACCGGGCCGTAAAAGTCTTGCCACTCGAAATTTTTTTGAAATGTAAAGGCCCAGCCAGCCGGGTTTCCCGGCGATACACGGTTCTGATCAGGACAGGAACCATCGGTGTAGATGTGTACCGCTCCCGTTGTCGGGTGTGAACGTAAAGGGGGAAAAGGAGCATTCGGGAAATTGCGGATATACAGTCTTTGGTCCTCCGGGGTTTTGGGGAGAGGAGTTCGAGGTTGAGGCTTGGGACGAGGCTTGGCGAATTTATCAAATGAGAGAGTGAAAGTAACGGGATAGTGTCTGTGAAACCACGGAAGCTGCCATTTGATTTGCGATGAAACTGATTGTAATTGGTGAAACGATCTTTCATGTATGAGAACATGATCTAGGACTGCAAAGTCCACGTTGTTAGGGGAGAAAGGCGTGGCTGTAGGGCTAGAGTTAATTTCCTTGTATGTGATTAGTTTAGAGTAGGGTCGCTTGAATTTGGAAGATGCAAGCAAAAAGTCTTCCGAAATAAGGAACTCGACGAGGAACGCATAGTTGGTTGTTTCGTCGAACGGTGCGTCCGTTGGCAGGACGGCTGGACCGATGTATTCCGAGAAAGTGGAGAGATCCTCATTAATGATTCTGGCATTAAAGTCCCCCGCCAACACTATGGTAGCCGGGCGGGGAAGTTGTTGGAGAAAATTCGGGAGTTCCTCCCAGAATTTTTGTTTGCGGGTTAGGTCTTGTGTCGGATCTTGTAGCATCGAGGGGGCGTATACGGATAATATAATTGTGGGGAGAGGTTATGTGCGCAGCAAAAGAGCTGCTACCCGAGCGGAGAAAGGAATGAAGTCATAAACCAAAGGGAGGGTTTTTGGGGATACGAAAAAGCCGACGCCTGCGGCTGAGTCGGTCGGTGTTCCCGAAAGCAAATATTTGCCCCCTTTCGCAAAGATTTCATTGGAGGCCGTGGATTTGGTCTCTTGAAGACAGAGTACATCGAGGCCCTTCTTGATGGCGAATTCCGCCAGGGCCTGATGCTTGCCGAGCCCGATTAAGGACTCAATATTCCAGGTAGCGAGAGTTAGTAAGTTATTTTGTGGGCGCCATGACAGATGGCGAGAAGGCATGTCCAGCAGCGAAGGCTGAACATAATGCCTGTATAGGGCGGCGCGCGAGCCTAAGTGGGGTGAAGGCGCTGTGACGAATAAGCTCTGCGGAGCTGGTCAGGACTGTTAGTTACCCTTTTCAGGGGCCGCCGGGAGTGGGCTAGGGTAAATTTCCCACTCTCCAGCACAGAGGAAATCCAGCTACGATATTCCCGGCGTGACTGACGCCGGCGATCGTTTCTGAGTTGGTGTCGCCTGCGTCGCGCTTCTAGCGACCGGCAATTGTCATGAATTTGTTTGACCCCTGACGCACTGCGAGATTCGTGGCCACTATGATCCAAATTGTAGCGGTTATCTAGGCAATGTAGCGCGAAAACATTCTGGAGAAGTCGAGGTTGGGAGTCGTGGCCTCCGGGCCTCCTGGCTTGCCGCTGGCGGCTCTCGCGGTGTGTATGTGGTTCCATAAGTTGTGTGCTTTGTTGCCGAAATAAACTTGGTAGTGCCTGACGCCTCTCCTATAAAACCAGACTGAAAGATGCTTCTGGCACCACGAATAGTGGTGCACCAGCATACCGTTACTAAGTTGTAATGCTGGGGTTCGAAATTTTGAGGGGAGAGACGAAAAGGTTTTATTATAAAGATCACAGTTACAGTGGGGGCAGCTAATGTTCCCATTTAAAGCCCGCTGCGCTCTGTTCCTCTTTTGTCTCGAAGGAACTATATTGTCATTCTGTGGCGGCCAGGCCGCAATAATGTCAATCCTGGTCCGTTGGACCAAAATAATGTCATTCCGAGGCTCGGCGGCCTCGATACTGTCATTCAGTTGCGGGAGTCCCGCGGTAACGTCATTCTGTTTATAACATGCTGTGCATGTTGGTGAGTACGAGTCCCGGCCTCGGGGCCAGGGACAAAACGAAGGGAGTAAAGCTAAGGGAAAGGAGAAGAGGAACAAGTTAAAGGGAGAATGGCTTGCTATCATTCGTGCTGCTGACAAGGCTGTCCAGAATGGACTGAGTGAGAAAGAAAACAGAAGAAGTAGCAGAACAAAAAGAACCTGTTGGACTACGGAGGGCTTTTGTTTGGTGCCTTTTTTGCCGGAGTCCTGGCCTTTGCCCTTTTCCTGGTTGGAGCCTTTGGAGCCTTTGCTCTGCCGCTGGTTGGAGGTGCAGTTTGAGCCCCAGCTCTGGTTTCCCTGGCGGCCCCATCTCGGGCCCCAGTTCCAATCATCGCCATCATCTGGGTCCTGATTCCACCAATCATTTCGGGAGTCATGATCACGCTCTTTCCAGGAGCCTTTGCCACTATACTTACCTTTGGGAGTCCGGGGTGCATGATCCTTGGAGCCTTTGGAACCTTTGTTCTGGGAGCCTTTGTTGGAGCTTTTCCCTTTACCGCCCTTGGAGCTCTTACTCTTGGCAGCACCCTTTCCGAAATCATCCGAATTAACCCCGTAATCTTGAAAAGCCTGTTGGGTTAGGGAAAGGAGCCCACCTGCACCTTGAAAGGGGAGCAACAGCTCATCCTCATTGGGAAAATGGGGTATGGAAAACTGTGGTGGTGAAACGCGACGTTCGAAACATCAAAGGCCTTGTCATAGGTAGGACTCGTTGTAGTGGTGCGGTCGATCACGGCGCGTCGGAGCGCCTGAATGAGGCTCATTGTCGATCTAATGCGCTGAGAGAAGGCGCCGTGCCATCTTTCCAGGATGGCCGCTCAGTGCTCCTCAAACAGTAGAAGGAGGCAGCAATATCTTCTGGAGTATCTTGCATCCAAAACGTAGGCGACCTGGTCCAGTCCCTCCATTACAGTGTCCGAAGAGGTCGCCTCGAAGTCGTGTCTGCGGTTGGTTGCCGCTTCCTCCGTGGAGCAGCCTTCCTTTGGGTCGTAGGCTCGGAGATCAGTGCGCCTGTGTACGGCCAGAAAATCGGCCCGGGCTTGCTCGCTCAGCCGCAGCTTGTCTCGCAGCGCTGGCTCCATCTCATCCCATTGTAGATCCAGTTCTATGATTTGTAAGATTTCCAAGTCGGAGTCATCCATCTTTGCCTTCTTCGGGCTGCCAGGGTTCTTGTCGCCCGCAGCCTCCTTCTTGGCTTTCTCCTGTTGTTCTTTCCGCTGGAGAAACTCTGCAAACTGTACCGCATCTGGCTGCGGCTCCTGCTTCACCGGCTGTTCCCCTGATGGGGGCGGCTCTTGCTTCGTCTGTCCGGCTGTCGGGTCAGAGGCCATGGCATCTGACATGGCTCAGTCGCACGAAAAGTCGAGGTAGTTACATTGAAAGACTGCGCAGACTGGGAACTTCGGAAAACTAAAACCTGCTAGAGAGATGGCATAACTCACACACTAAGGTGACGAGCCCCCGGTAGGGGCGGGCTTTCAGGGCGGACTTACCACCACACCTTGTGCCAAAAGCCTGAAACCCTGGCCCTATAACCCCAAAATGTTAGAATATTCGGATTCATAGAAAGAACCCCAAAAGACCCCGAGTTCCTTCGTCCAGTCTTACATTTCCCACTTGGCGTAGAAGGATGAGCAGAGAGAAGAAACCATGGGCCTCATGCTCAGGCATGTGAACTTGTTTCATTGGCACTGTCCGCAGTGTGGCTATCTGCACTCACCGTCACCACCAGCACTGCCAGATAGCTACGATCATCATCATCATCATCATCGGAATCCTGATCCTGACCCGGAGAAAGGATAAAGTTCGTGCTCCGCTGCCTTGGGACCGATCATATCGTTCCAGCCCTGCATGTTCTCAGCGCTCCTGCCAAACAGGTGACACACTACAGAAAGCAGTTGCCAACACAAGCAACAGTACCCAGGATCCTCGGAAAGCCATCGATGAGGTACTTGCCGTCCTCCCATCCTCGTTCCTCCATGGCCTTCTGCAGTAGACGCACCACCTCGCCAGGATTCGCCAGGATCCATCGCTGTCGGACAGGGTTTTCTGATGCTGTCCCGGCACTCACGGGCACCTAGGGCATCTGAGGCATCTACAACGGATACAGGGACCAGTTTGCCCTCCTGCCGCGACTTCCAGTGCTGCGCACAGCCCGTCACGCAGGCCGATGGCAATGCACAAGAAGCTGAGCGAGCCAGAGAGCACAAGCGGCAGCGGGTCCTTGATGTGGCTCTCAATCAACTCGCCCAGCTCTGATCCGGGCCTCTTTCTCTCCTGCCAGCCAGGAAGAAAACCAAGCACAGGGCAAACAAAAAGAGGACCGCCGTGGACGCCACCTCGCGCAGCAAGTCTCCAGCTGACAGGTGCTGGAATCCGAAGTTCGCTGCGATGCGAGCACACCTCGTTTTGTAGGACGCCAGGTACCGGCATATCACAACGCGTGGCATTCAACCATGGCCGTGGCATTGCAACCCCCTCGGCACCAGACTGTGTTCCTTTGCCAGCCCCGGGTCCACCCAGCACAAAGATCACTTGAGGCCCAAAGTTCCTCTCGGCATGCCGGATGCAACGCTGCACGAACTCAGAAAACCCCCAAAAAATGGGATGAAACCCTAAACCTTAACAGCAACCCTAGTAGTAACCTTTAATTACCAACCCTTGTAAGTAACCCTGCTGCACTGCCGGAACACTGCTTTTGTAAAGAAACCCTGGCCCTGGTCCTTTGCACATCGCTCCAGACCTGGAGCTGAAACGAATGCGCCCAAGGCAGGAGGGAAGCAAACACCGCCGGCCTAAAACACTAGGGTTTAGGGTTTAGGGTTTAGGGTTTAGGGACACCAGCGGTTGTAACGGCCTTACTGCAAAGATTATTCTGAGCATCATCGTCACCGCTGTTCCTGTTGTCGTCGGGTAGTTGTGGTCGTCGTCGTCGTCGTGACTGTCGCAGTAGTCGTCGTAGCAGGAGTCCAGCAGCAGCTTCCGGCTCGGCTTCTGTTTCCCCCCCTACGGTTGATGGACAAAATCCTGCATGACCCTATATTGTCATAAATCCCATAGTTTAGGTATATTATATACCTAAACTATGGGATTTATGGTACTATACTATACTTGGGTCACGCAGGATAGTATCACTGTGGACATGCTGCTTTGGGTTCCACCCTCGATGATCCCTGAACCACCTTCGGCCCTGGCATGAACAAGACGGTTTAGGGTTCAGGGTTTAGGGTTTAGGGTTTAGGGAAAGATCCACGCTCCAATGTCCGCCCTCTCACTCACCTGTGGCGCAAAGCTTCATTCGGGGTGCCTTTTCCTCTCTTCCTGAGGGTTTAGAACCCCCAAACCCTAAACCCTTGACCCTAAACCCTAAACCCTAAACCCTGAACCCTGAACCCTGAACCCTAAACCCTAAACCCTAAACCCTAAACCCAAAGGCTCTAGGGTCAAAAGCTTTGGGGCGCAAGGCCTTCTCGGAACTCTGCTCTGCGTCGATGCGCCGGACCAAGCCCTGGCAACAGGATAGGGCTTCTATTACCCATAATGGGGAACAGACAAAAATCCCATAGTTTAGGGTTCTATAGAAGCCTACATACTTGGATCAGACTTAGGGTTCAGGATGTAGGGTCTTTAGGCTTCAGGGTTTAGGGTTTAGGGTTTAAGGTTTAGGGTTTAGGGTTTAGGGTTTAAGGTTGAAATAATCAGGGCGGTCCAACAGTGTGTATAACTCATATATCAATATGCTGCCTGAAGCCGGTAACTCTCCACCACAGGCATCGACCTCAGCTGACATGGCTGCATCAGGACTCCATCAGCCTGCAAAGTGACACCCCTGCTTACTTTCATGCTCAGCCACTCCTGCTGGAAGGTTACGAAGCGCTTTTTGATGGACCTTGGCATGATTTTCCGCAGAATGAAAACGACAAAGCTCACGAAGCACTAAATAAAAACTCAGCCTCATGCTCCATATTGTCATCCGCCCTTCCACTTGTTTTCCCTCTTTCCACCAACCGCACCTGCAAGACAACATGCTTGGTGTCAGGTGGTCGCCGCTACTCCTGTGGTGCACTGCATCTGGTCTCGAGGCTCCCTGCAGAAAGGGCGGGAGCAAAATCAAGCCAACGCCAATTGAGCAGTACCCTTCTTGGGCCTACACCCTGAACCCTTAACCCCTGCAACCCCTAAACCCTTAACCCCCAAATCCCCAAACCCCCAAAACCCTAAACCTTGAGCCTTGAACCCTTGGACCCCCCCATCCCACATAAAACGAAGCTGCAGATCACCTGCATCGTCTCCTCTGAGGCATCGAAGAAGAGCACAAACTTCACCCGCACCTCCGTCCCTAAGATTGTTTCCACCCTCATTATAGCTCATCCGTGCATATCATACTGCATTGTAGCATCTTACAGTATAACTTTGTATTTAATCGTGTATAGCCTGCCAGAAAACCATGTTCTAGAAACGAAAGTCCTCCGAGCGAGAGCCACCTGCGACAGCGCTCCGGCGGCTGCGAATTCTGAGGTGCCGGCTGTGTTGCCGATCACATTCTCCCAGCCTGGAGGTCGGAAATTCTTGCACTTGAATGTACAACTTGTATGAGTTTGACTGTGCAAGCATGATGAATAATGCACTTTACACCATCTGTATACATATTGACATATTGATGGTGCTGGTGCTGGTGCTGGT